GAGGTGCTGCCATGCGAACTGTTCCACAAGCAGGCGGGAGACAGAAGCCGGCGGCCGCCGAGGGAGTGGAGGGCGGCCCAGCTTGCGGCTGTCCTTCCCGCTCCTACCCCCCGTGATTACCCGGCAGAAGCGTGGGAGGCCGAGGAGAGAGAAAGGAGGAGGATGGAGGAGGAGGAGGAGGAGGAGGAGGCGGAGGAGGAGGAGGAGGAGGAGGAGGATGAGGAGGAGGCAGGGGGAGGAAGGGGGAGGAGGTGGAGGAGGTGGAGGAGGGGGGGGAGGAGGAGGAGGATGAGGAGGAGGAGGAGGAGGATGGAGTGAGGAAGGAGGGGAGAGGGCAGGAGGAGGAGGAGGGAGGAGTAGGGAGGAGGCGTGTGATTTGATCATGCGAGTCGGAGGAGGCTTCTCACCATGCGTAAGAGAGAGAAGAAGACGGTGAAGGCGAGGCTTTAGGAGGACGGGGGTTTGCGTGAGGATGGGGGAGGAGGAGATTGGGTATACCTCAGCATGAGAGGTATTATATGAATGAGTGATATTACTTGAGGAGGCCTCCTAGAAGGGGACTGAGGTCGTATTGAGTGCGGTGTAGGAAAAGAGAGGCGGACTGACTGATGCCCGCCGATAAGGCCTGTGGATGTGGGGGGTTCAAACCGTCACTAGTGTTCGATTAATATGCTTGTGGACTCCCTGCCTTCAACCCTCTTTTCTCTTGTACCCTGATCCCGCACACAGAGATCCAGTTCGGCACCAGTGCTGCGGCATCATCCCGACGGCGCCGCAGTCGGGCTGCGTCACGCGGGTTCCCTGTGTAGTGCAACATTCCCAGGCGGGCCTAATCGAGGAGGCCACAGTATATCCTCTGCACTCAGACCATGCAGGACTTCGTGAGCTGTACGGTGGCCTCAGGCTCTGGGCACCAGTGGTGCGAGGCAAGGGAGCGCCCGACTTGCTTACCAAACAAGCGAGGGCCGAAGCGGTCTCGGTGGACCCTCCTTCCAACAGCTCCCGCCCGACCTGGGGGGACGAACGGGTACCGATACCGCTACTCAGCCGCTACTCCACAGACCTCTCCTGGGAGGCGCTCAGGTCCCGATCTCGAGGCGAATCCAGTCTTGGCGACGAGGGAACGGGCATCGGTATCGGTACCTTCATCTCCCTTTGTCGGCGGCGAGCGAGGGGGAGATGATAAAAGGAGGATGCCGTCTCAGAAGGCGGCGAGACTTCTCAGAAGGCCTCTGGCCTTCTGAGAGTTTTTTGTTCGTGTCTTCGAGGGAGGCGTAGGTAGCCTCTGGGCGGGTGGTGGACCTCCGAGCCTTCCGAGAAGGCCCGCCCCCTCTCGCTTCCCCCCCTCGCTCGCCGCCCACTGACGGATCGATCTGACTCGAAGAGTTGTTGCAAGAAGATGGGTCCTGGGGTACTCGTTGCGATGTCTCGCGAGGTTGCAGCAGCCGTGAATGTTCGCGATTCCTCGCGATTCTCGCTCGCTTCGGGCTCGCGACCACCCGCTCGGGCTCGCGATTTTTCTCGCGATGCTGCCCTCGTTGTGACTTCTCTCTCGCCTCCGGCTGGCGTTACGTGGGGCATGTACCTCTACAGGAGGACTACTCAAGAATGGTCAAAGGGATAGTTAGGCGACGATCTTTGTATCCCTCTTTGTCTCTTAGAGTACTTGTTTGGCTCTGTCTCATGTCCCCTTCCGCCTGGCGAGGAGCGGCCGCCGGCGCCGCCGCGGAGGCGGGGCGGCGGCCGCCCCGCGCCCTGAGAGGCGGCGCCTGCCGCCGCAGGACCGCAACAGTCGCGTCCCATCGAGCCGGGCGGCGGCCCGGCCGGAGGCATGGCGTTCGACGCCGCGCCTCCTCGGGGGGCGACCTCCTCTCGCCTCGGCCTCGGGGGCCCAGCCCCGCCGCCCCCGCCCCCCCCCGCCGAGTGCGGCGCGGAGGGGACTGCCCCGCCGGCTGCCTCTCTCTCTCTCTCATCTCTCCTTTCCTTCTTTCCCTCTGGGCAGTGGGGCCCTCCCATCCCCCTCCTCACCTCCCTCCCCTCCCTCCCTCACCTCCTCCTTCCTCTCCTCCTCCTCCCCTCCTCCTCCTCCTCCTCCTGCCTCCTCCTCACTCCTCCTCCCCCTCCTCCTCACTCCCTCCTCCTCCTCCTTCCTCCTCCTTCGCCTCCTCCTCCTTAGGGCTGGCTTGCTCCTTGCCTCTCCTCCTCCTCCTCTTCCTCCTCTCCTCCTCCCCTCTTCCTCCCTTCTCCTCCTCCTCCTCCTCCTCCGCCTCCCCCTGCTCCCGCAGGAGGGAGAGGCGCCCACCTGTAATAGGGGAACAAAAAGTGGCACAAACATAAAAGCTCGGAGGTCCGCGCGGATGTCTCGGATCGGCGCTGGACCCCCCTCCCTGGCGCGCGGAGCGCGCCGGGGCGGCGGCGCTGGAGGCGCCGCCGGGGGGCCCCAGCGCCGATCCGAGAAATCCGCGCGGACCTCCGAGTTTTTGTGTATGACACTTTTTGTTCCCCTATGTAACCTTTCCTCGGTTTCCCTATTTTGGGGCCTCCTCGGAGGCCCCCGTCGCCACTGCTGGATCCGCCTCGAAGTCCTGGTCAGCACGCATCTCCGGGAGACGTTCGGGGAGTAGCCGTATCGGTACCTCTTGGTTTCCCTTTTGACCTTCCTTTTCCCCCCTATCCTCCTCTCTCCTCCTCTCTCCTCCTTCTCCAGTGTATCACCGATGCATCGGCGATGCGTCGCCGACGTATCGGCGATGCGGCGAGAGCCTCCGACCCCATCTACCCGGACCCCATCCGGGAGGCCTATCTCCTCCCCCCCTGCGCTCTCTTGCTAGGGAAACAAGCCATGACATAAACATGAAGGCTCGGAGGTCCGTGCGGATTTCTCGGATCCGCGCGGGACCCCCCCCTGGCGGCGCCTCCAGCGCCGCCCCTGGCGCGCTCCGCGGGCCAGGGAGGGGGGTCCAGCGCCGATCCGAGACAGCCGCGCGGACCTCCGAGCTTCTGCGCTTCTGCCACTGTTTGTTGCCTCCCTTGCGCCGCCCGCCCCCCCCCCCCCCCCCCCCCCCCTCGCACGAAGGCGTCGAGGGCCTGGCCCGCGGGCTCCAAGGCGGCCAGAGACGCTGCCGAGGCGATGCGAGGCGACCGGGCAAGGAGCGGCACGACAAGGCAGACTCGGCTTATCTAGGCGTCCTATATGGGGTCCGAGTAGATGGGGTCGGAGGATCGCGCCGCATCGCCGATGCATCGACGATGGGGCTCGATGTGGAGACCGATTTCCCCACGCCGACGTCGCGGATGCGTCGCCGACGTCGCCGATGCATCGCCGATACATCGGCGATACGGCGCGATCCTTCGACCCCATCTACCCGGACCCCATCTAGGAGGCCTCTAGCTTAGGTCGGGCATGTCCCTCATACAGGCTGATGTTGGAGGAATAATGCAAACGATTCAAGACAACTTCCACAATTTTGAGACCATGCTCAAAAACTCTTCCCCGGACATCTGTGTTGAAACTATGTTTGAACACTCCTCATGTAGAGGGACGCGCCCGACTTGAGACTCGGCCAGATACGCCAAGACAGCCTTCAGGTCGGTCCAAGACGGCCCGACGCCCAAGAGGGCCCGCCAGCGGCGAAAGTAGTCATTTGAAATATTTGCGATATAAACACGTTAGCTCTTACCAGACGTGGATGTTCCCCCCAGGGCTCTCGAGGCTTCCAGTGGGTTCCAAACGGCCCTGAAGAGAGCCCGGGTCGGGTCCTGGAGGAGCCCAGGATGGCCCCAGAGGCCGCCGAGGCGGCCCCAGAAGAAGGGGCCCAAGATGGCCCCAGGAGCGCTCCAAGCTGCTCCACGACACGCCCGCGCCCAAATCGCCCCAGGAGCCCCCAGGAGGCTCCGCCATGCGAGCGACAAGTCTTCCAGCGCTTGGCATCGCTCGGACGTGTGCATGTTTCCTTCGGCGAGGATCATCGAGAAGCATCCTTGATCATTTTGCGAAAAAACCACGCACGAAACCGAAAAAACATAGGGAATGGACGTCCGAGCGATGGCCAGGCCATGCGAGCGAGAAGTCTTCCAGCGTGGAGCCCGGGCAGGCACACTCCCCTGCCCGGAGCGGACCGGCACAGTGGTCTCGAGAGAGCTTATCCTTTCATCGGGGTCGGCCAAGAGGGGGGTGATGACTATAGGGGGGGAGGGATAGCATGGCGTGGGCCATGATGTTTCAGATGTCATGCGCCTCTTCTTGTTTCAACACGTCCCGGCCCCCCCGCTGGGCCACGCACGTGCCGCCAGCCATGATGTGCGCCCACCCCCTCTTGGTGGCCGTCCCCGACTTAATCCACCGACGCCCAAGGGAATGATGGTTGTTTTCGGGCGCGCGATATCCCGCACACATCCTGGCTCACGGTGTCGCGGCTGCGACAAGGCATTCCCGCCATCAGCTGCGTACTCACCTCACTGCGCTTACAGTGGAGGCCCATGCCAAGAAACACCCTGCTCGCCCTCAGGGTGCCCTGGATTTCTTGGGTTTCGATGGTTTTGCACACCAGCAATCCATGGATGTCCTGGGGTCTCAGGGTCGGGTTTCTCGTGGAAGGCTTCCTGTGGTCGGGCCTCCGCTGTACTCCGTCGTCGTTCCCTCCCACTGCGCAGCGGTGGGCCATGGGCTGCCGCGGCTCCGTGCAGCAGCGGTGGGAGAAGGCTGGGGGCCAGGAGCTGGACCCCGTGCTCCGCAGCGGGGCGGTTTCCCTGGTGAACGCGGAGTGGATGGTGGCGCGAGCGGGCTCTGGCGGCGTCTTGGATCCGCGCCAGGCACCGGGAGCCCCCAAGCCGGGTGGCGAGATGTCAGGCGGCGGCCTGAGATCCTCACAGAGTCACCGCCGGGTTTTGGAACACGGGATCACCGACGTGTTTTTTGTTGAGTCCTGGAGCCACCAGCGTTCGGGAGACATCCTCCAGAACACACGAGTCCCCAAACCGTGTGGTGACACAACATCGTCATGGATCCGCGCCAGGCAATGCAACCCGCTGCTTTCATTTCCCACAGCAGGGTCAAGGCCGCCACAGTTGACGACCTGTTACACGTCGTTGCCATTTCGCACTCCTGGCTGCAGGCAGACCATCCAGATCCGCGCGGGCACAACCTGCGCAACCTGGGCCGGGTTCTTCAGTTGATGTCAAGAGATCCTTCCCTCAGCATTGAATTTAGCGGTGTTTGGGCAGTGTTTATGGATTTCTGTTGCATCCACCAGTGCTGCAGGGATAGTGATGGCGCTCCCCAGTTGCGGACATTTCGCTGGCTCGACGAATCACAGTGTTTCGCGGAAGGTGCGATCGGACGTTTTGAGCGCGAAGATGCACTCTTCAAGGAAGCCTTAGAAAGTTTGGGGAGTTTCTATTCCCATCGCGCCACGGTTGTATTCATGATGACGAAGTTTCCAGCTGATTACGACGACCCTGAAAAATACACTAGATCTGGCAACACGGAGACATACTTTAACCGCGGTTGGTGTTATTGCGAGTCTTCCTGGGCGATGTTGACAAAGGGCTCCCACCACCTCGTGGACCTCGGCAAGCAGTCTGGAAAGGATCAGAAGCTGGGCGAAGGCTGGCAAACCCGTGGCTGCTAAAACGGAGCTCCGGGATGTTTTTTGCTTGTTTCCGGGAAGCAGCCCGTTTACCGTTTTAGTGTGCCGAGTTTGACTTTGGGAATTTGCTTGTTCCCTCTGGGAGTACCGTTCCAGCAGCCACGGATTTGCAAGGGCGCCCTCGAGGGCGCGAAGTTCTTCGCGCCTCGCAGTTTGGCTCCGATGCCTCCTCGTTCTCCTCTTCTCCCCTGGGAGGCGGCGCGAGAGAGAGCGAAGTTGTTCACGCTTCGTGCGTCGCGCAGCGCGGAGCGCGAAGTTGGGAGCCCTTGGATTCGCCAGCCCTCGCCCAGCTTCCACGAGGAGACATGTTTCTTTGGCTACCACGGCCGCACCGACTCGCTGGTGCACACGTGCGCGGCAGGGCGGAAGGCGCCCCTGCTGCCCAGCGCTTTCGAGGCTGAGGGGCCGTGCCTGATTTCCTCCACCACCACCATAAGGTTGATGGGGGGAAGGAGGTGAAGGAGGAGAAGGACGAAGAGGAGGAGGAGGAGGACCCTGTTCCCCTCCAACTTATGGTGGTTATGGTGGAACACAGGCCCATCAGAGGTGGAGCTCGAGAGCAAGGGCTTCACGAACGGCCGGGACGATCGCCCCAAGGTCGCCGAGCTGTACCGCTTGTCGTTCACGCAGCGCTTCGAGTCCGCCGAGACGCTGACCTATACGAGCCTGGAGTGGGGGGACGAGGAGTTCGGTACAAAATCATGGGAGCCTGGTATACCCTCTGAATTTTGTCTTTAGCGCCGATTGGCGTCGATTAGCATCTGGGAGTCGATGAGATAGCGCCGAGATCGGTAGGGAATCATGGGAGCCTGGTATACCCTCCGAATTCCGTCTTTAGGGCCGACTGGCGTCGATTAGCGTCTTGGAGTCGATGAGATAGCGCCGACTTAGCGCCGATTTAGCTTCGATTCGCGTCGATCTAGCGTCGACTAGTGCCGATGTCGCGTCGATTAGCGTCGACTCGCAAGAGCCGACAAGATGATACAGTGGGGGGCCCATGCGAAGAAGCACCCTGCTCGCCTCCAGGGTGCCCTTGGTTTCTTCGGTGTCGAGATGGCCTTGCGGTGGAGGCGTGACGCCCCCGCACCAGAATCCATGGACGTCCTGGGGTCTCAGGGTTGGCTTCCTTGTGGAAGGTTTCTTGTGGTCGGGCCTCCCCGGAGATCCGACGCAGCGGAGACAAGTACAACCTCGTGGAACACCGCGCCAGGAGCCCTGGACCCCACCCTTCGGCGCTGTGTTTTGTCTCGAGCCGGCTCGACCCGTGAGGCTCCCGGAGCCCGAGAGACGGCGAGCACGCCCGGCTCGAGAAAGTTGAGGCGCCAGGATCCCAGAGATCCGATGTTACGCTGCATCTTCGGGGGACCTCCTCCCCCTCCTCCTCCTCCTCCTCCCCCTCCTCCTCCTCCTCCTCCTCCTCCTCCTCCTCCTCCTCCTCCTCCTCCTCCTCCCTCCTCCTCCAGACCAAGTTGGGCTCAGGGTTCAAGCATTTCGGTCAAAGCGACCGCTGCTCTGCGGCCTGCCCGCTCTGCGCCTGTCCCCCAAATTGGTGTCCTTTCTTGTGCCTGACGCAGGCTCCATGCGGGCTCGACGCGGACTTGACGCGGCTTCGACGCGGATTCGACACGGATTCGACACGGACTCGAAACGGATCCGACGAGTCCGACATGGATTCGACACGGATTCGAAGCGGATAAGGCCGCGACGGGACAGAAAAAGTCCCCCGAGGGTGCAACATAACCGATGTCGTGATTCTTGTCAGTCCGGGGGGCCCGAAAGTCTCGACCCCTGCCCCAGGACTGCTTCTGCCTCCCGAGTCGTTCTGTGCACGGTCCCGAGGCCTGGTATGGGCCCCAAGAGGCCGATCACAGCGAGAAACCGCCGTCGTGTTTTTTTTCACTACAGTGCCGTTTTTAATGCATGCTCCGCGTGCAGATCGTGTATAAAAAACGCAAGGATTTAGCATTAAAAGCAAGGATGGGTTCATGCATCAATTTATTCATACATAAATCACGGATCAAACATCCTATATGTTTAAAATCTTATGCATTAGAAACTGCCCTGTACGTTCGGTCTCCGGGACCTCGGGGTCCCACTGCACGGGAGGGCCCCCGCGAGCTGCCACCGCAGAGGAGGCGCAGCGCGTGGCCGCCGTGCTGGCCGCGGGCGCCGCGCCCCGGCTGCGGGAGCTCTTTCTCGACGGCAACCGCCTGGGGGACGAGGGCGCTCCCCGCCCGCCAAGCCACCCCCAGCCTTCGTAAGTCGGGCCCGTCCCTCTGCAGGAGGAAGATCCCAAGAAACCCCAAAGAGTAGTCCGGGGGCTATTTTCTATGCATTTTTGTTGTTTTTAGCATTTGGGGGGCATTTTGGGAGTATGTTTTATATTTCGTCGAAAATCCCCCTGGTAGGGGGACACGCCCGACTTAAAACCAGCCCAGCCCGAAGGCCTCCATTTGCCCCTCCACTTCCAGGGGGGGAAGGGCTGGGGAACATCCCAGAGATCCAACGTACTCAAAAAATCTCGACGGAGGTTTTTCTCAGTTTTCGGACTCTAGGGGTCTTCGCCGGGCCCAGGACCGTCAAACAACGACTCAGGATGAAAAACCGGTCCTGGGGAAGGGGTCGAGACTTCCGGGGACCCCGTATTGAAAATTATCCTGGCGAAGGACCCAACCATATGCAGTTGTGAGTATCGCAATTGTGAATATCTTCTTCGGTGGCGCTCCCTCTGAGGCCACGAACCGCATGAGGGGTGTGCCGAAATGTGGCGGGGTACACAACGCAAAGGAATACGATATATCTGATTACGAGAGAAAGAACGCGGGTGAGTCAGAGCGCGAGGGAATCTGAGTATGAGTGGGTCTGCGCGCGAGTGAATATATTTGCATGAGTGCGATCATGGAAACGCCTAGTGTAAGTGTCGAGCATGCCTGTCCGAACACACGTGACGCTGGGCGTGGCCGCCGCAGGCAGCTTCCGCGGGAACCCCGACGGCAGCGCCCGCACGTCGCGACGCCCATGTCGGCACGCCTCTTGCGAGGATCGCGCCCGCTTTCGGCTCTTCTTTTCCTTCCTCTTTGCCCGCGCACTCCAAAATCCAAGGCTGCGGGCGCAGCGCAGCGCGGAGTCCCCGCGACGCGCGCTGGTCGCCCCGGGCGGGGTCCCAGCGACGCGCGCGGGTCGTCCGCTGCGCGAAGCAGAGAGAGCTGACTAGCTAACTGGCTGGCTGATAGCGGGCAAGTCTCTGACCGCTGGGCAGAGCGACGACGGGCGAACGAGGCGCCGGGCCCCCCGCAGCACGGAGTTCCCGCGACGCGCGCTGGTCGCCCCGAGAGGGTCCCAGCGACGCGCGCGGGTCGTCCGCGGCGCGAGGCCAAACAATTAGTCGGGCAGTCGAGAGAAGGCGCGGCTCGGGGGAGACGCTCCTCAGGTCAGGCCTCGCGGATGAACTCGGTGAAGCCGAGCTCCCTGGCGAGGGCCGTCGCTTCCCTCCTGCACCGCTTCGTGCGCGCCGCAAACTGCTCCAGCTGCTTCCGCAAGCCCTGCGGCGGCCCTGCCAGGAAGAACTCGATGCGCGGCGCCCGCATGAGCAGGAGGTCCTCGTGGCGCGTGGCGCGCGAGAGCAGCACGTAGAGCTCCAGCCACCAGTCGTCGTCCTCCTTCTTGCCGTTCCCTACCTCGTGGCGGCCGCAATCCAGGATCACGCCTGGGCGACGTCGACCGAGGGAGCAGCGCGCCGGGCAGCCGACGGCCCAGGGCGAGAGTCCACAGGACCGAGAGATGGTCTGGCCGCGGACTGCTCGCGCCCGGAGGTCTGGCCGCCCCCGGAGCGCCGATTCTCCGCCCCGTCGCCTTCGCGCATGGTGCGCCCCTGGCACGCCACCGTGGTGATGACCCTGCCGTGCGAGAAATGCGGGGGGTGTGCCGAAATGGGTGGGGGTGACGCATGCGGGCGGCGGCACTGAGGCCTTCGGTGGAGCTCCCTATGGAGCCACGAAACGTGTGAGGGGTGTGCCGAAATGGGTGTGGGGGACGCATGCGGCCGCGGGCACTGGGGCCTTCGGTGGAGCTCCCTATGGAGCCACGAAACGTGTGAGGGGTGTGCCGAAATGGGTGTGGGGGACGCATGCGGCCGCGGGCACTGGGGCCTTCGGTGGGAGCTCCCTATGGAGCCACGAAACGTGTGAGGGGTGTGCCGAAATGGGTGTGGGTGAATGGGTGTGGGTGACGCATGCGGCCGCGCGCCACTGGGGCCTTCGGTGGAGCTCCCTATGGAGACACGAACGTGTGAGGGGTGTGCCGAATGTGGGGGTGGGTGACCATGCGGCCGCGGCCACTGGGGCCTTCGGTGG